TGAGCTTCCGTTGCTCGGTCCCTGCTCCTGCCAACCTAGCAGTTCGAAAGCACGTCAAAGTGCAAGTAGATAAACAGGTACCGCTCGGCGGGGAAGGTAAATGGCGTTTCTGTGCGCTGCTCTGGTTCGCCAGAAGCGCCTTAGTCCTGCTGGCCACATGACCCGGAAGCGGTACGCCGGCTCCCTCGGCCAATAAAGCGAGATGAGCGCCGCAACCCCAGAGTCGGCCACGACTGGACCTAATGGTCAGGGGTCCCTTTACCTTTACCTTTATTATGTTCTCTAACATGTTATTCTTATTTATTGTTTGTAAGCTGGTCTGGGGTTCATTTGACTGAAAAGCAGCATGGAAAGATAAGAAATCAAGTCCAAATCAAAGTAGCAGTTGATGGTTTTAGAAATTAACATGTAATTAAAGCCAAGGAACCATGTTCCCTTTTCTCTTCTGTAAGATTGGCCCTGCTGCAGCAATATTAAAGATGCCCTTCTCTTTTCCTCAAGGGATTTTTGTCTGAAATGGTCTATGTCCTTTTATTCTGGTATTTTCCACCTGGAAAACAGACCTTGAGAAGTGAAATTTTTTATGACTTTTAAAATATACAGTGGTACCTCGGGTTAAGAACTTAATTCGTTCCAGAGGTCCGTTCTTAACCTGAAACTGTTCTTAACCTGAAGCACCACTTTAGCTAATGAGGCCTCCCGCTGCCGCTGCGCAATTTCTGTTCTCATCCTGATGCAAAGTTCTTAACCTGAGGTACCATTTCTGGGTTAGTGGAGTCTGTAACCTGAAGCATATGTAACCTGAAGCGTCTGTAACCCGAGGTACCACTGTATATATATTTGGCAGGTGCACCCTATAGTTCCACAAAAATCCGCACACTAAAACTCCTACACGGTTAACCTGATTTCTGCTTTTAACATTTTTAACAGGGTTTTTATGGTATGCACCAGTTGCTGTAAACTGCTCTGGTTTTTTTTTTTTAAATGAATTAGCTTATGTAGACTCACTACTATTAATGAAACTTAAGTTAGGCATGTTCATTCATTTACACGTGTCTGCTTTTGGACTAAACCCTGCTTGGATACAGCCCAAGTCTTAGGATACGTGCCACTATAACCCTTGATAAAAAGATGCCATAATAGGTCATGGGTAGGCAAACTAAGGCCCGGGGGCCGGATCTGGCCCAATCGCCTTCTCAATCCGGCCCGCGGATGGTCCGGGAATCAGCATGTTTTTATATGAGTAGAATGTGTTCTTTTATTTAAAATGCATCTCTGGGTTATTTGTGGGGCCTGCCTGGTGTTTTTACATGAGTAGAATGTGTCCTTTTATTTAAAATGGATCTCTGGGTTATTTGTGGGGCATAGGAATTGGTTCATATTTTTTTTTCCAAAATATAGTCCGGCCGGCCCCCCACAAGGTCTGAGGGACAGTGGACCAGCCCCCTGCTGAAAAAGTTTGCTGACCCCTGCAAGTGGTTTATATGTTTTTATAATAATGATAATATACAAGTAAGCATAATTTCTTAAAAAACACGGCAAAAGTTGGCCCAAACTTCACTACAAAGTACAAGGGAGGCTGCAGACGGGATCAGGACTGGTCTTTTAAAGACGTGAGCCAGTCTTTTAAGTCTGCGAAGCTCCTTCGCTTCCAAGTCTCCCATGAATCCCAAATATGCCCCTAGTTCTGAACACTGGAGACCTGCTTCAGTAGAACTGCCCTTTTCCCAGCGGAAGTCAGCCGACTGCCACAACGGTCAGCCCGAACCGCAAAAGTGCCTTTACATCCACCCCACTGAAGACACTATTCTGTGTGCTGTTTTTTTAATTGATGGGATTTTTCAAGATGAAGAAAAAAATGTGCAATCAGGAAAGAACAGAGAAGACCCAGACTATGGAGGCAGAAATCCATCCTGGGCTCTGTGCAACACAGATGTGTCAAGAGAAGGAGCTATGTGTCGTGTGGGTTTTTTAAGGTTGTAAGGCTGGCAGTAATAGGTTTCACCGCACTCAACTCTTGTGTTTGATTGCAGTCACTACATTTACCATTTTTAACTCTCTGAAAAGTGACTTTGCTGTTTAAGCTTAAAGACTGGGGGAAAGTAAATATTGCTCTTTAAGCTTAAGGTAAAGGTACCCCTGCCCATACGGGCCAGTCTTGACAGACTCTAGGGGATGTGCGCTCATCTCACTCTAGAGGCCGGGAGCCAGCGCTGTCCGCAGACACTTCCGGGTCACGTGGCCAGCGTGACGAAGCTGCTCTGGCGAACCGGCACCAGAGCAGCACACGGAACGCCGTTTACCTTCCCGCTATAAAGCGGTACCTATTTATCTACTTGCACTTAAGGGTGCTTTCGAACTGCTAGGTGGGCAGGAGCTGGGACCGAACGACGGGAGCTCACCCCGCCGCGGGGATTCGAACCGCCGACCATGCGATCGGCAAGTCCTAGGCGCTGAGGTTTTACCCACAGACTATAATTGCTGGGGGGAAGTAAATAAATCAACTGTTCATATTACTGTACACGATATGTGTTTTGATGTTTTTTTCTTTTCAATTTCCAAAGTGTCTTTTATACTTTAGCAGAGCTGATTGTAAAATTCTGAAGATAAGCGGGGCAGCGGAGATTAAGGACCAACCACATGGATGGATTGTGAATTGAACTGTGCATTGAACAGGGACCGAACTGGTTCCTTTTTCGGAGCGGGTGAACGTGAAGCAATTCCTCTTTAAAATGAACTTTCCGTATGCTCTTCACGGATCAAGTGCTCAGAAACTTTTAGCCCTTTCCCCAGCGTGGACAGACCTTTCCTTCCACGCCGGAGAGTATGCACAAATTATTACAGCAACGAGCTGCCGAGACTTCTCAAAAACTACCACTCAGTCAGTCGCAACCTTCTTTTTTTTTTTAAAAAAAGAAAAACTTCTCCAGTCCCAACATTGGTTCAATTTTTTTTTCTTTTTTTACTCCTCCTGGGATTATTATTATTATACTTCAAATCCATTCTCAAACGCACAGAATCCTCTGGCCGGGGAGAGAAACATCACTGACAAAGAAACAAGAGGGAGGGGGGGACGAGGGAGGGGGCTCGGCGCTCCCCCACCCCAAAAATCTATGTAGTGCAAAAACAGGAAAGGGGGCTTGGAGAGACCCCGAGGAAAGAAGGGCGCAAAAGAGGAAGAAACTTCCCTCCCACCCTCCGGTTCTTCGGAAGAGCACCAATTCATTCCCAAATGCAATCAGATGACAAGCAGATCTGCACATTGCTTTTCCCCCGCTTCTTTTCATAACAGCTTAGAAAGTCATTGCAAGTTCTTGAAAATACACCCGGTGTGTTTCGCGGGGTGGATATTTATTGCAGAGGTGCCCTTGGCTTCCTCAGACATTTCCCAGCTGCTACCCACAGGGACAGCAGGTATTAAACCGCTGGGGGTTAAGGACTCATCGATTCTCGAGCCTTCCCCGAAATGCGGCAGCCGCAGCGGTTGCTGCGTAGGAGAAGTCGGGCGGCGGTGAGAAACCTCCACAGCAAATGCTCCACCGGGTGAAACCGACAAAGTGGTGGTGGTGGGGTGTCGAAGCAGCAGCAATGGGCAGGTGGCCTCTCCGCATCTCTCGCGGGGACGTTTGTTGGGACGACATAAAAAAAGGGGCCTGGACACAAACAGCAACAGCAGCAACAGCGACAACACCAGGCGTGGAAATTAAGAAGAGTGACAAAATTATAGTAATAATAACAACAATTATGGTAATATAATATAGATATATGGATATAGGGAGAGGCTCTCTTTCTCCTTTGCTAGGTTTCGTCTCGAAGACGGAGCCTGGCCGGGGGGCGCACAGGGCCCACCGCCAGCCAGGCTCATTGCACACACCCCTGGGGGGCTCGGTTGTCGTTCTGTGTTCTCGCCGCAGCGGAACGGGGCAAGTGGCAAGATTCCCCCTTTGGTCGGGCTGATTGTTTAGGCGAGTCTTTTGCTGCTGTGGGCGGGAGAAAGTGCTATCCCGCTCTCCTCTCTCTCTCTCTCTCCCTCCTCCCCGCCCCCCGCCCCGTGCAAGGGGAGGGCCCCCCTCGCCTACAGAGGGCCGCTCCTGGCTCATACGGTCGTCTCGTCGGCCTTCTTCTTCAGGAGCTTGGCGGAGAGCAGCGAGTGCGAGACAGGGTGCGGGTTCCTCGAGTCCGGGATCATCAGGCGGACTTTCTGATTGGTCCTTCGCCACTCGGAGTACAGCTGGCAATGGTAGCGGAATGAAACCTGGCCGGCGGGGTGGGAGGGGGGTCACAAGCGGGGTGGGGAAGGAGAGCAAGAATAATCAGGGTTAGGTTTGGAATTGCCCAAGGTAAAGGTAAAGGGACCCCTGACCATTAGGTCCAGTCGTGGCCGACTCTGGGGTTGCAGCGCTCATCTCGCTTTATTGGCCGAGGGAGTCGGCGTACAGCTTCCGGGTCATGTGGCCAGCATGACTAAGCCGCTTCTGGCGAACCAGAGCAGTGCACGGAAATGCTGTTTACCTTCCCGCCGGAGCGGTACCAATTTGTCTACTTGCGCTTTGACGTGCTTTCGAACTGCTAGGTTGGCAGGAGCAGGGACCGAGCAATGGGAGCTCAACCAGTCAGCCGAGGGATTCGAACCGCTGACCTTCTGATCGGCAAGGCCTAGGCTCTGTGGTTTAACCCCCCAGCGCCACCCACATCCCTATCACTGACCCATAACCTGCCCCCAAATAATAGTAAGGAGGAGGAGCAGACTGATTTAGTGTAAGAAGAACCCCGAGAAGGAAAACGGGCGTGACCACTCACCAGTGTCCAAAGGACATAGATGGTAAAAAGTGCTATGGTCAGGGCAATCAGGCCGATGGCCTCCAAGCGGCTATTGAACTGCAGGTGGTCTTGGGCACCGCGGAGGCAAAGCCAGCCGGAGATGGCAGCCAGCGGGGTGATGAAAAGGAAACACACCATGTCGCAGAACAGCGTCCGTTTCGCTGCGTGGGCCGGGGTCCTTCAGCCACTGGACAGAAGGAAGGAAAAGACAGAGGGGGATTAATTTGTCAGAATGAAGGGGAAAGAATCGCACGTTGAAAATGTTGTCTATGAGAATAAAAGAAAATTATTATAAATTACCGTATTTTTTGCTCTATAAAAGTAAGGGGAAATGTGTGTGCGTCTTATGGAGCGAATGCAGGCTGCGCAGCTATCCCAGAAGCCAGAACTGCCAGAGGGATCGCTGATTTCACTGCGCAGCGATCCCTCTTGCTGTTCTGGCTTCTGAGATTCAGAATATTTTTTTCTTGTTTTCCTCCTCCAAAAACTAGGTGTGTCTTATGGTCTGGTGCGTCTTATAGAGCGAAAAATACGGGTAGTTTGGAGATGGTATTCACATTAGATAAAAACAAGAACGCTGACGGAGCTGAAAGCTCTGTCTCTTGTTTGAGAACTCTCAGAGCCATCTTGTTAGTCCCAAACAAGTTTTATCTCCCAGGAGTAAAGAGGGTGCCTGAGCCTAAATCAAGAGCAAGCAACTGCCTGCGTTCCTGCTGTCCAGCAACACGTTGGAAATGGTTTTGAAATCAAATAAACAAGGAATATCCGGTGTTATGTTGGAGGGGATGCCGGGAAGCGGGGAATTATGTTCACATGTGGTGGGGGTGTAAATATGTACATGGGGGGGGGGGGCAAAGGGTGCTTAAGGAGATAACAGAAATCACTGACCGGCAGTCCAGAGGCTGCATTATTATTCATTTACGATGGGGTGGAAGGTTTGCAGGCTATGAAGGAGTTGCTCACAAATTTATTTGACAGCTGCCATTTGTGAGCTTCCAAGTATGTGTATCTGCCTATCCTATCGGTGTTTCTCATCAACTACCAGCAAGGGAAGACTGCTCCCACCATGGGCTGAGATAACTCCAGCCGCCCAGCCCCACTCCCTTGCCTCAGAGGACCTTAGAGAGAACCTCTGATGTGCAGAGGGCAGGGAGCGCTGCCTGATCTATTCCGGTTCCATGGAGAGATCATGCCTTCCTGTTCCTTTTATAACACCTGAGCACAATTTCATTTTGAGAATCTTTTGCAAGGCACCACCCAGGGACAAAGCAGAATGCAAGTGTTCCAAAGAAACTGATTTGTCATTCTCTTTCCCACTCAAAACCTCTAGCCCGGAGATCGTGCCCTGCGGCAAGTGAGGGAGGCGCAACCCACCTCGATCAGGGGCCTGGGCCGCCGCTCCACGACAAACTCGGTGTGGCACAGTTCGCAGTAGCTCGTGTTGGAGGAGGAAAGCCACTTCTCCAGGCAGCTCTTGTGGACGGTCCCCAAGGTGCCCGTGCAATCGCAGGGCGAGAGCAGGCCTTCTCCGCTTCCGCCTGTGGCAGATTCGACAGATTGGGCCATCGCTGCAGGAGAAGGCAAAAGAGAAGGGGCTTCAGCCACTTTCAGAAGACCGGGGTGGGAAAGTGTGTATGGGCAAGCTATCCGGAAGAAAATTGTATTTCAAGGAGTTAGTGATCTGACATGGTTATCCTTCCTGCCTCTGTTCCGGTTAGGCTCTGCTTCTACTGTGTGTAGGACTCTGGCAGAGACACATGCCCGATAGCATGTTCTCTCCTCCTGGTCGATCGTTCGGGAGCCTAAAAGCTTTCTTCAGCCCAAACATCACAGCGACTGATACCTAGAGGCATCAGAACACTTACGATCCTGCAGTATTGGCAGTTTGCGTAACAGAACTCAGTAGCACAGCATTTTGGCTAATCTACTTTTATTTACATATAATACACTTGGAGCATTCTGACTTAGCTCTTTCCTCTTTCTCATCAGACAGCAAAGAGAAAAGGAACAAAGGACAATAGTCCCACTTCACAGAACACAGTACAGTGGTACCTCGGGTTAAGTACTTAATTCGTTCCGGAGGTCCGTTCTTAACCTGAAACTGTTCTTAACCTGAAGCACCACTTTAGCTAATGGGGCCTCCTGCTGGTGCCACACCGCTGGAGCACGATTTCTGTTCTCATCCTGAAGCAAAGTTCTTAACCTGAAGCACTATTTCTGGGTTAGCAGAGTCTGTAACCTGAAGCGTATGTAACCTGAAGCGTATGTAACCCGAGGTACCACTGTAATACCAAAACATCCTGTCTCTATCACTTCGCACACTGTGGAATGAAAACAGACACTATCATGTGATAGACAACAATCCCATGACTGCAAACATGGAGAAAGAATCCTAACAGTTTCTTCCCCCTCCCCTTGTCTCTTGTTAAGTTATTTGATGGCACGAAGAACAGCCTTTATTGTCCTAATCAGCTGGGAGGAAGTGATAGTGCTAGGTACCTTCTTGAAGTTGGACGCTGTTTTGGGAAAGTGAAGCATTGGGAGTAGGTGGCTAATGATGATCTGCACATAGCCAGTCAGACAAGCTACACAACCTACTAACTATAAATCGGATGGTTGTGGGCAGAGTTTTTGAGAAGCTCGTACACGGAGTGATCTGCCGCAGGGCCGTGCAAACTGAGGCTGCCTGGGGGACTCACTTCACCGTTTCTTGAGGGCTTACAAGTGGCAGATTGAAGTGCTTGGCGTTTTGTATTACTTCTGAATCTCATTTTGAAAGAACCACCTTGCATTTGGCAAGACAAAGGCCTGATGTCTTAGGCTGCGACCCGAAAACACCTCTGCTGCCTTTCGGGTTTCTAGGACCGTTGTATCTGCTAACCAAAAAAGATTCTGAACTTGATGAATTCACCACAGGTCAGCCCTCATTTGTTTCTTGGGGTTTGTGCATGATGGAGTACTTCTATCACGAAGAGCCATCATCATACTGAGAGCCAGTATGGTGTAGTGGTTAAGAGCAGTAGAGTCGTAATCTGGTGAACCGGGTTCACTTCCCCGCTCCTCCACATGCAGCTGCTGGGTGACCTTGGGCCAGTCACACTTCTCTGAAGTCTCTCAGCCCCACTCACCTCACAGAGTGTTTGTTGTGGGGGAGGAAGGGAAAGGAGAATGTTAGCCGCTTTGAGACTCCTTCGGGTAGTGATAAAGCGGGATATCAAATCCAAACTCTTCTTCCGGCCAAGGGGTTAATTTGGCCATTTCTCCAAAACCACACCCACCTGTCAATCAACTCAAGTCACCGTGTGACGTCGGATGATGATGGACAGGTGGTAGGGCTCAAATCTATGCTGGCTGCGACCCCCAGTTCCCCACAGAGACCGGGCACACAGCTGAAACAGAAGGATAACGCCTACTGAACAGCTGGTGAGCAGACCCCAGAGAGTTTAGGATTGAACTCTCCTCCCACCAGCTGATGACAGAGTTCAGTCCTGCTGGGTGCTGCTCTGGCAATACAGTGGTACCTCAGGTTAAGTACTTAATTCGTTCCGGAGGTCTGTACTTAACCTGAAACTGTTCTTAACCTGAAGCACCACTTTAGCTAATGGGGCCTCCTGCTGCTGCCGCGCTGCCAGAGCCCGCTTTCTGTTCTCATCCTGAAGCAAAGTTCTTAACCTGAAGCACTATTTCTGGGTTAGCGGAGTCTTTAACCTGAAGCGTACGTAACCTGAAGCAAATGTAACCTGAGGTACCATGGACTGCAAGAAGATCAAACCTATCCATTCTGAAGGAAATCAGCCCTGAGGGCTCACTGGAAGGACAGATCCTGAAGCTGAGGCTCCAATACTTTGGCCACCTCATGAGAAGAGAAGACTCCCTGGACAAGACCCTGATGCTGGGAAAGATGGAGCGCACAAGGAGAAGGGGACGACAGAGGACGAGATGGTTGGACAGTGTTCTCGAAGCTACCAGCATGAGTTTGACCAAACTGCGGGAGGCAGTGGAAGACAGGAGTGCCTGGTGTGCTCTGGTCCAGGGGTCACGAAGAGTCAGACACGACTAAGCGACTAAACAACAGCAACAAGTTGCTTTGGGAGACGATAATCAGTTCTGTGAAGCTTGGAGGTGGGATGTGAGGCATCTGGGCTTTAGCAGTGCAGTGGTACCTTGGGTTAAGAACTTAATTCATTCTGGAGGTCCGTTCTTAACCTGAAAGTGTTTTTAACCTGAAGCACCACTTTAGCTAATGGGGCCTTCTGCTGCAGCCGCGCCGCCGGAGCACGATTTCTGTTCTCATCCTGAAGCAAAGTTCTTAACCTGAAGCACTATTTCTGGGTTAGTGTCTTTAACCTGAAGCATATGTAACCTGAAGCGAATGTAACCTGAGGTACCACTGTATGTAGGGAGCGTCCCCCACCCCGGTCAACTTGGACAGATGGTCCTGCTCACCAATCAATCACCAGAAATCCTTGTGACATCAGATGATTGGCAGACGGGCGCCCCCGTCCACCAGTTAAAGTTGGCCTGCAGGGGCAGGGAGATAAAGATCCGGCCTGCCAGGCCAAAAACAGCCCCCTTCCCTGATTGACAGCCTTGAACAGGCTTGCTTTTTCTCAGCCCTCGTACGAAGACCGAGGGCACGGACAGGAGCAGGTGGGAAGGACGACTGTGTCTGCCTGCATCTTTCCATCCTGTGAAAACCAAATGCATTCCGCTTTGTGTGTTCTACCTGAGAATGTGAGATAAATTCCAGCAGGCAGCAGCCGAAGCATCACAAAGGGTGTCTGGAGAGATTGTGTGCAGGGGGCGAGTGAGTCGGACTAACAGGAAAGAGCCACAGATAAGTCGCTCCAGCAGAGGAAGAACACAGGAAGTTGCATTCTGCAGAGTCAGACCTTTGGTCTGTCTAGCTACACTGTCTGGCAGTGGCTCGCCCCGCAGGGTTCTAGACAGGGAGATTCTCCCCACCGTACGTGGAGACGCTGGGAACTCAACCCGTGCTTCTGAACACAACATCCGAGTTGCATCCTTTCTTAGAATCATAGAATCATAGAGTTGGAAGAGACCACAAGGGCCATCGAGTCCAACCCCCTGCCAAGCAGGAAACACCATCAGAGCACTCCTGACATATGGTTGTCAAGCCTCTGCTTAAAGACCTCCAAAGAAGGAGACTCCACCACACTCCTTGGCAGCAAATTCCACTGTCAAACAGCTCTTACAGTCAGGAAGTTCTTCCTAATGTTTAGGTGGAATCTTCTTTCTTGTAGTTTGGATCCATTGCTCCGTGTCCGCTTCTCTGGAAGGGATTTCTCAAGGGATTTATGCTAGAAATTCCCCAGTCGCCAGGCATGTCCTGCCCCTGGCGCGGGTCCAATCGTGACCACGCAGAGATCTCTGAGTGCTAGGCTGGCGGCTGACATCTCTATCTGGCTGGCCCCTCCAGCTTACTTAAGCAGGTCAGCAGAAGGGTTTGTTTACTAGAGCACTTCGGCTATGGGGCAGCTCTTTAGATTGAGTGGGTAAATAGGTATGGGGGGAAAGCAAAATGTCCCTTAGAGAAGGATCTGAAACATTTCCCTTTAAGCTTGATTTTGTTTAATTCTGCATTGTTTTACTTGATATTTTAAACTGCTTTGAGGCTTTCTTTTAAATACAAAGCGGTATAGGTAAAGGGACCCCTAACCATTGGGTCCAGTCACGGATGACTCTGGGGTTGTGGCGCTCATCTCGCTTTATTGGCCGAGGGAGCCGGCGTACAGCTTCTGGATCATGTAGCCAGCATGACTAAGCTGCTTCTGGCGAACCAGAGCATCGTACGGAAATGCTGTTTACCTTCCCGCCGGTGCAGTACCTATTTATCTACTTGCACTTCGTGCTTTTGAACTGCTAGGTTGGCAGGAGCAGGGACCGGGCAACAGGAGCTCACTCCGTCGCAGGGATTCGAACCGCCAACCTTCTGATCGGCAAGCCCTAGGCTCTGTGGTTTAACCCACAGCGCCACCTGCGTCCCTTACAAAGCGGTATAAATATGAAATTAATTCTTCTTCTTCTTCACTGGGGGAAAAAATGCTACCTAGACATTCCATTGTGGCAACCGCAACCTAGGTTTAAGGTGCCAAAAAGAAGTGCCTAGACAACCAGCTGTGGCAACCGCAACCTAGGTTTAAGGTGCCATTTGGCGGTTAGCTAATATATCTGAGTTTCTAACACTGCTCAAACTATGTAGGATTCCAGTCCTCTGAATAAAAGGCTGTTTTAAGTGGGTAACAGGAGGAGGTACAGACTTGCGTATCATTATGTTTTTGCAGGGGTCCTTCCAACTCTGACCCTCCCTATCTCCCAGCCATCACTAAAAGACTTTCTGCTTCTTTGACTCTAAACTGAACTCGACCCTTCAGGGTCAAAGGACACCCCTAGAATCATAGAATCATAGAGTTGGAAGAGACCACAAGGGCCATCGAGTCCAACCCCCTGCCAAGCAGGAAACACCATCAGACCACTCCTGACATATGGTTGTCAAGCCTCTGCTTAAAGACCTCCAAAGAAGGAGACTCCACCACACTCCTTGGCAGCAAATTCCACTGTCAAACAGCTCTTACTGTCAGGAAGTTCTTCCTAATGTTTAGGTGGAATCTTCTTTCTTGTAGTTTGGATCCATTGCTCCGT